ATTTGCACAAGAAAATTATTCTTGCTTGACGGGTGGCAAAAATGCCAAACAACGAAATATAACTGGCAAAAGACAAGGAAAAAACGAGGACGAAATGTCTCGGAGCCGCTGAAAAGAATAATTCCTAATTAAATATGGTGCGACTGTACAAGAACAGCCATGGCATTACTTACGCAAACATCACAACAGAACTCGGTCACAATTCCGAATTAATTAAAAAAAACTTCATGGTAATACCGTGAATCATAATCTCCACGAAAAAAGATTTAACGAAGATCCAACGCTATGCATATAATTATTATCAAAGAACTCAAGAGATTCAATGGTTTAGTATTTGATTCAAATTATGAAAGATTGTTGACTATATGCAATGCAATAATTTATTTTATTTAGAATTATTATTAATCTATTATATTCATTTTGGTAGTACTATTTATAAATAATTCGAGTAGTAAATTAAAATTTCCCTAAAGTTATATGGAAAAGCAAATAATTCAATTCATACGTCTATAAATAATAGTATCATTATAGCGTAGATTTATTATATGCCTCCAGGCCTGGAGAAACTCCACAAATAACTATTTAGTATTTACGTACTATAATAATTTAGTAAGACATTCAATTACGTTTTTGCTTTTATTTTATTTGCTACAATGTAGTATTTAATAAATTTACTTTTCAGTTATTTATTGTATTAATCGGGAGAATAGAATCTTTTAATATTCTTGAATTACTATATTCATATTTATCCAGGATTTGGTTATATTCCAGTAAAAAGACTGTAAAACTTATGGTGATATTATTGTTGGGTTCCAATAGGCAAGAAACTTACCACGGACTTTTACTATAACTATCTATTATTTTAAAATTTACCTGTTTTATTATTTTTATGCATGAAAAGTGTAAGTCTGAAACCAAAAAATATTTAAATATGATACAAACGACAAATCCGTTACATAATATACTAATAGCTACTGCAGTATCATTTATTTCGAGATCAACTTTTTAGACATTAAATCAATTGTTAATAAAGCATAAAAAAAAACAAAAAATTATGTTTAGTGATGTGTCTCGTTATAGCACTTATAGTACACAAAAAGAAAAAGATAATGAAAATTTGACTTATTACTATATATTTAAAATAGATACTAAATTCTTTTGCTATGAATATTATACAACATATTGGTTGAATATTAGACAGATCCATCTTTCTAAATAGAAAACGCCTAATTTTTCTCAGCTAAGAATTCATATATTATAATTCATAGAGTGGGTACAATTATACTTCTTAGTCATCAATATTTAATATTCAATACCCTTCATTTTATAAGAATCAAATAATTTAATTGAATATATAATAAATGTTATTAATAGGGTAGAGCGAGGTTTGAAGGTCCGCTGGTAAAAAGGGCCACCACCGATATCTCAAAAGCTAGTAAAGCTAAGAATTTTAACGAAAATAATTTTTAACTACAATATTTGAAAGTAGAGGGCAATAGATGTATAACCAGCCATCACCTTGGTTTTTACGACGTCGCCATCGGGAGATATATCTCCGTTTATAAACGGCAATGTTTAAAAATCTCTAACAAAAGTATTTTTTCTTATGTTTTTTTTTGGTTGCGTTTTTGTTTAGTTTACGAAACTCTAATAATATATTTAAGAACACGTTATCGAATTGTTTTATAATACGTATTGTTAATTTTAATTTAGATTTAACAGCTATTTTATATAACTTTTATAAAAGCTTACATGTGGGTGGAGTAAGAAGCACCTACTGAACCTTTACCCTGGCAAAGGTGTAAATAATAGAAACTATTAAATAAAAAAGTAAATTAAGTTGAAACAAACAATTTTACAAAAGATAAATTTAATTAATAGTTATTCCAATTCTGTTGATGAACATTTCTGACAAAATACCAGATCAAGCTTATATACAGTGTTGTCTTTGTAAAAAATGTTCCTATAAAATATATATTGTAGTTGAATTATTTATAATTCAATTTCAACATAATTATAGTTAATTTATAGCTGAATAATCTGTCCCAACAATTTTTTGAAAAACTGAAAAAAACACGTTTCTACAATGACGAATTAGCTGAAGGTTTTACTGAACATAGTCAAGTAGTTGTTTGATTAATATAATTGGTTTGGTTTTCACAATATAATTGGTCAAAGTCACATTGGACCTTTGTGCCCCACCCTGCCCAGTTATTTACATCAAATTTTATTTTCTACATATAATGAAATATAAAAATCTCTCCTTATTATCGCTTGATTTTATTAATGGTTTGATTTATGCATAATAACACGTCAATAACATCCGAATTATACTTGGGTTGAATTTCCTTTAATGAAGCTTTAATTCTGTCATCTAACAACCCACGATTACATTCATATTACGATTTTGATTCGTCCAGATTAGAAATTGATGAAACGAACAGATAATTTGACTTTGTGACAAAACACGCAACCGGGGGCTCCAGCATGAATTTGTAATCTAAGACCGTGGCCTTTCATTACGCCTGTCGATCCCATTGTTGAGGCTGAGGTAGAAGGAGATTATTGCTCAACGAAAACGAATTGAAATGCTACATCAAAGACTACGACGAAATTTATATTAATTTTTATACAAAATCAAGTAATCCGATTTTTGTAATTCGTGGAAATTTTTGAAATCCTAAACGGGATTTGCTGTAATTATTAATAGGATGGCGAGCGTCGAGTTTTCCACGTAAACAACATAAATTGATAAATTGAGTTTGGAAATCAAAGCATTTAGAGAAGAATTTATTTATATATATATATATATATATATATATATATATATATATAAATATATGCATTGATATGAGAAACATGCATTGTAAAATATTAACTAAGTTTTACTTTGTTTGATTCATACAAAAATTATACTGAAAAAGAAATTAATAACATCGTATTTAACATTTAAAAAATATATATAATGGCACTAGTGCTTTTTGATTTAAAAAGTTATTTTATATCAAATCATACATTTAACGAGCTTGTGGCGAGAATAGCTCAGTCAATTGTGTTCCCACACATACGCGACAATAATATAGAATTTTAAATAAGTTTAAATTGAACGGAATTTGAATTGTTTATTTAAAATTGCGAAGAATTAGAAAAAGTAGAAATTATAAATAGGTAAGTAGATATAATTTGAATAAAAATTATAAAAAGAAAGGAAAACAAGAGAGTTGGAAAAGATGAGATTTAGAAGAAAAGAAGAATGCAGATATCAGTTGTTAAAAGCAAAGAAAAAATGGTTAGAATAGAATATATATATATATATATATATATATATATATATGTATATATATATGTATATATATAATAGTATATAGTATATATCAAAATTGCACTAGTATTATTATGTCAGAAATATGAAGAATTTAATTAATTATAAAATCAATTTATTGGAACAATATTATAAATATATCACTGTTATACAAAAACTGATCTGTTGCCAGTACTTTAAAAACATTCTATTTATCTTCTAAAATTTAAAACATTTGTCATCGTTATCCATTTGATATTATAATCAATTTTTTCAACAAGAACTGCAATCCTCTCAACTGTGCTTGTTATGTTATAAAGGTTCTAAACTGTTATTCCAGAAAATTATAATATCTTCAAAAGCATAATGTAATGGAAATCTCATGCGAGTACAATTGAAAGTGTTGGTAATCAATTGCAGGACGTCGGGTTGGAAGTAGAGCAGTTACCTTTCAGATATGACGCTGAAACCATGCCTGAACCATTATCAAATTACCTAGATGCTTAGTAATATTTATGTTAAGTATTGGTAATCCTCCGCAAGCATTTAGTGAAATTTTTGACACAGGTTCATCAAACCTATGGATTCCTTCCAAACAGTGCCCAGTCGCAAATGTTGCTTGCTTCGTGCATAACAAATATGACAGCACAAAATCATCCACATACATTAAAAACAGTACAAATTGTACTATTGTTTACTAACCTGGCTGCGTTACTGGCTGTTTATCTACTGACACAGTGAATAGGTATCCTAGACATTGTTAAAAGAACGTTTACTGAAGCTATGGTTGAAACAGGATTAGCATTTGCTGTCGCAAAATTTGAAGGTATTCTCAAATTGAGTTATAGTTCCTTTTTCACCGATAGTGTAGTGCCAGTGTTCTACAACATGTTTCATCAAGGATTGATTAAAGAACCGGAAACCCAGCATTTAAACGGATTTCTTCCGAACAGTGCTCAGTCGCATATTTTGCATCTTTAGTGCATAACAAATATAATAATACAAAATCCCTCCGTCAAAATTTGTTGCCGCAAATTTGACGGAATCTTCAGATTGAGCTACAGTTCACTTCCCATCCATAATGTAGTGACTGTGTTCTCAAATATGTTTCATCAGGAATTGATTGAAAAACCAGTCTTTTCCTTTTATCTCAATCGCGATTTATCTCAACCACATTGTCTTCAGCGAAAACAGAATACACAGATGTATTTTAATTTATAATTTGTGAATTTTATAAAGTAATGAAATACTTTTAACTATGCAAGATTTAGTTTCATTATTGACACATAAAAATGATATTCTCGAATGAATTCAGTATTTTTTTGTTATTGATATTTTTGGAGTGTGTTTTTTGTTATTATTTACGCTGCCTACTTGTTTGTTCGAGAACGATCCATGGGTTTCCTAGACTACAGTTGCTAATGCGATATGCTTCCGTTATATAAAAAAATAAATGAAACAATACATAAACCATTATCAAATTGCCTGGATGCTAAATAAAATGTAAGTACAATTGTTGCTAATCCTTTGCAAGCATTTAATTTTTTTTTTTTTGACACAGGTTCATCGTATTTATGGATTCCTTCCAAACAGTGCTTAGTCATAAATATTGCATGTTAAATGCGTAACAAATATGACAGCAGAATATCATCCACGGCAATTGACGTTGGGATGGAAGTAGAGCAGTTACCATTCTGATATGACACTGAAACAATGCCTGAACCATTATCAAATTACTCTATTTATTATAAGTAATCTTCCGCAAGCATTTAGTGTAATTTTTGACACAGGTTCATCAAACCTATGGATTCCTTCCAAACAGTGCCCAGTCGCAAATGTTGCTTGCTTCGTGTATAACAAATATGACAGCTCAAAGTCATCCACATACATTAAAAACGGTACAAAGTGAACTATTGATTACTAAGCTGGCGGTGTTACTGGCTGTTTATCTACTGACACAGTGAATAGGTGTCCCAGCCATTGTCAAAAGAACGTCTACTAAAGTTATAGTTGAAACAGGATTAGCATTTGCTATCGCATAATTTGAAGGTATTCTCAGATTGAGTTATAGTCCCCTTTTCACCGATAGTGTAGTGCCAGTGTTCTACAACATGTTTTATCAATGATTGATTAAAGATCCGGATCCGCCAGCATTTATATAGATTTCTTCCAAACAGCGCTCAGTCGTAGATTTTGCTTGTTTAGTGCATAGAAAATATAAAAGTACAAAATCTATCCGTCAAACTTTGTTGCCGCATAATTTGACGGAAACTACAGATTGAGCTACAGTTAACTTTCCATCCATAATGAAGTGGCTGTATTCTAGAATATGTTTCATCAAGAATTGCTTGAAAACCAGTCTTTTCCTTTTATCTCAACCGCGATTTATCTCTACCGCAATGTCTTCAGCGAGAACAGAGTATACAGATGTATTTTAATTTGAAACTTGTAATTTTTGTAATTATTATATACTTTTAACTATGCATGATTTGGTTTCATTAATGACATATAAAAAATATACTCTCGAATAAATTCAGTATTTTATATTTTATTGATATTTCTTCTGTTGTCTTCTATTATTATTTACGTTGTCTACTTGTTGCTTGTTCAAGAACGTTCCATAGGCTTCCTAGACTAGAGTTGCCAGTGCGCGAGGTCTTGTAGCCTCAGTTTATAGAAATATGTACAGAACGCTACGTATCCTTAAAACTTTTGAAATAATTTCTAATTTAATTTTATCAAATACTTCTAACCCCTTTCAAATAGGGTTACGTAAGTCTAAATTGCTAAGTTAAAATTATTTATATAAAGTGTGTAAGTGAGCTTTAGAACTTTAGCCAGAATAAAATTAAAATCTGAATTATGTTCGATATACAAAAAAAAATGTTTTTGAAAAGCAAGCAGACGTGCTGATTAGTTATTAGATAAGGCAGGTCTAGCCATTCAAAAGATACGGGGCAAAAAGTGCCAAAAACGGTAACTAAGTTTTTAAGAGAACGGAGCGTGCGATTTTATTAATTCAAAAAACATTTTGTTTGTATTAACAAAATTAAGTACCGCTTGAATTTTTACAAAAGCATGTCCATCGGTTTCGGATATCTAGTAAAAAAAATTACTAGTGGGGTGTATGGCATCGTGCCTTAAGGCAAATTGCTGAAACTTTCCGTACCGTAACGTAATCGTAAAATGATCGAGGAATAATAAATGTTTTAAAATAGATTATTATGAATATTGTAACATTGTCGGATATTTATAAGAATTATATAAACTAATTCGGAAAGTTGAAATTATTTGTTTTAAGTATATTAGAACAGAATTAAAATAAAAATCTGAATTATTTTCGATATACAAAAAAAAATGTAAAAAAAAAAATAAAATAAAAAATTTTAAAGCAAAAGAAGTTTTTTTTTTTCAAAATCAATTATTGTGTTTAAACAAACAGAAAGTTTTTGGAATCATTCAAATCGGACGCTTAGTTCTCTCAAAAACTGCAATTTTTTGCACATTTAGCTCTGTATCTCCGAAACCGCTGGACCTGCCTTTGCCAAAAAGTAATCACCCTTTCTTCCCGTCATTACAAACTGAATGTTTTTGGGATCATTCAAATCGGATGCTCCAATCTCTCAAAAACTCGATTTCTATTTTCTGCACTCTTTGCTCCGTATCTCCTAATCGGCTGGACCTGCCTTTGCCAAAAACTAATCAGCACATCTCCCTATCAATAGGAATCGAATGTTTTTTGAACTATTCAAATCGGTTGATCCGTGCGCCAGAAAACGAGGACGAAAACTTGTATACATGCATACATACACACACACACACACACACATCCTTTTTTTCTGAGGTATGCCAAAATGTTCAGAAACATTCAAAACGTCGAGAAATGTAAAAAATTTCAATTTCGATTTTCGGCCCATTACAATAACTTACCCCACGGAAAGTTAAAAAAGATACCATTTGGCGATCAAAAATGATTATTAGACATATGCACATTAAATTATCAGATATTTTATAGAGATTTTAACAATAAGTATAATTTTTTTTCACATTTCTATGGGTTCCGTACCAATGCTCATCCGTTAGACGGCGGCGCGGCACTTACGAGCTTTGACATTTTGTCTCTATGCAGTTCAAGCAGTACGATTGCTTTGAAAAAAAGTTCAGAATTTCCAAAATATGTCAAAATGAAGAAAACATTTTTTTTTCAAAAAAAGTAATTTTGTATCAAATTTATAGTTTCTCAAAAATCTAATTTTTTCGTAGTAAAATTTTTTCAAAAATGTTAATCGTTTTTAAAAAAATAATAATTTTTGGTACGGGAAGTTCCAGCAATTTGCCTTAAGGCACGTCACGTTGCCATACACCACTAGACTTGTATAAAAATATTAGATGGATATTTTTTTTATGAAAAATGTTAGCAATGTCACCCGCGACATCCCACGTATCGAATCGAATCGAAGAAGAGACAAAAGCAAAACGAGAAATTCCAAGTGGCCACTACGACTTACTTAATTACACGGTTGTGCTCGTCGTAATAAATATTGAATTGGACATAATTTATACGGTTCTGTTACTTCGAGCGTTTGTTGTAAGTTAATTCATAATTACATCCTTGGCAAGTTGTTCAAGTCGTGAAAAGAGCGATGGGATCATTAAAAACTTATTGAGAAAAAAGCTGCTTAAACGATTTACGGTTACAAGAGAACCAGTTAATTCCTGCAACTGATGCTTTTCGATCTATCCAATAGAAAATTTACTCGGTTCAATTTCTATCGGTAAATTATTTCAATTCTTAAATGATAATGTATATTAAATTGTATAGTATTATATACTTTTCTTGTCACTTTTAATAAAAAAAATGTAATAAATAATAAGTTATGAAAAATCAGTGGAGATTAGTTAAATCGCGACTCAACATATATGCTGTATTTTTTAACTTATGGCCAAAAATCGAAAGTGAAAATTTTTGCATATCTTCACGTTTCAGAGGTTTTTTAAACATGTTACCATATCTTAGAAAAAATGTATGTGTGTGTGTAGTGTGTATGTATGGATGGATAAAATTTTTCGTCGACGTTTTTGGGAGCACCGGTCAACCGATTTCAATTTTTTAAAAACCATTCGATTGCTATTGATAAGAAGACGTGCTAATTACTTTATTGGCAAAAGTTGGCTCAGCCATTTTGGAGATCAGAAACAAAGAGTGCAGAAAATAGAATACGAGTTTTTGAGAGTTCGGGGCATTCAATTTGAATGATGACCAAATTTAGAAAAAGTAGGTATCTGTGTATGCTTAAAAGTATGTTCAAAAGTATGTATGTGTGTGTGAGCCGATTTTTGACATTCGTCGTCGTTTTCTCTAAAATGGCTGAGAGCTGATTTCAAAAATTTATTTTCATGTAACTCGATGAAGACTAGCGTTTGCGAGACGATATCATCACAATATTTACGGATGTTGATAACATACCTAATTTGACTAAAGCGAGCCTAATTAATTATTAAGTAATTTGGCTTATGCAAAAAATAGAAAATTTTGAAATAAAATAGGTCCAAGAAAATTTAAATAAAATATTTATTATCAAAAAATTCAAAACTTTCATTTTCAAAAAACTTGATCAAGTGGCATCGCCATACTTGTATGTATCAATGTATATAGTTTTATATGTAAATAGTCATCAAATTTTTATTTACTAATGTCAAACAACGTTTCGGTAGTTTTACTCATGCAAATTTAAATAGTTCAGAACTCGCAGGTCGTTATTTTTGTGTTGGCTTGAAAATACAAGATAATTCTCATATACAAAGTTGGAAAAACTTGTTTAATATACTTTCTAGATGATATACTTTTTATGATATATGTTTTTATTTAAAATAAATATTCAAACCGAAATTTCTTATTCACTTCGCGGTTTTAACAAAGCCTATCGATCTCTGGCGTTGTGACCTCGTTTCACGGACGTAACCGCTGGCAGAACAAAATGGCTTAATTTGCTACAACATAGTTTTTGAATTGCATTTTCTAACGTGATTTGAAACATTTTTGTAGCATTTCATGGTGTATATAATTTCTTTGTTATATTGAATGAAAATGTCTTTATGTGATGTCCAGAAATACATGCTTGATTAATTGAACTTGACTTTTTTTTCTTAATATTTTTAATATGCCTACGACATGTCGTTAATAACATGATTAACAAATTACAAAAAACTAATAAGCGGGCGTCCATTAATAACGTTAGCCTAAAAGGGGAAAAGACGGTCTGATAAAAAATCTCAAAATATCACTCGCAGAGGGGAGGGTCTAGAAAGAAATCACGTGTTTTTTTACCAGAATTTTATAAAAATCCAATTTTTTCAAAAAAAAAAAAAATCAAAATTTTTACGATTTTTTCTAGGTACTAAAAATACTCGTGACATTAGGTAGGGAAGGAAGGGTTAATTTTAAATTTTACTACGTATCACTAAAGCAGAGGGGGGGTTCAAAAACCTTTAAAAATCGTTCACTTCATTAATGGGTGACCCCAAAAAATATAATGAAATATGGCATAAGAAAATATTTAGTGCTTACATAACAAGTTAATTTTTAATGTATGAAAATTATTATTTATTATACTAGGAATATGATAGAGCAGAGCACAAAGGTCCAATTTGACCTTTAGCAATCATACAGTAAAACCCAAACCAAATATATCAAAAACAATTAAATAACATTGAAGCTTTCAATAAGTCTGAGTTACGAAACGGAAAGTTCCAGCTATTTGCCTTACATAGCTCGATGCCATGCACTCCTAATGGATTATTTGCTTGGCATATTAGATTATGTGCTAGATTATCGAATATTTTAGAATGCGTGAAAAATATGAATCATTTTAATACTAATATTAATTTAAATAGTGGTACGTGGCAAATTGCTGCAACTTCTCGTACCAAACATTACATTTTTTTTTTCAAAAATGAGAA